GACACCTGCAGGTGAGCACTGGAACTGCAGGATCTGCTCCAGCTCCACGGCGCCACCTGGAGGTGCTCAAGTCCCAGACAGCCACTGGCCATGCTCAGAGACACCTGCAGGTGAGCACTGGAACTGCAGGATCTGCTCCAGCTCCACGGCGCCACCTGGAGGTGCTCAAGTCCCAGACAGCCACTGGCCATGCTCAGAGACACCTGCAGGTGAGCACTGGAACTGCAGGATCTGCTCCAGCTCCACGGCGCCACCTGGAGGTGCTCAAGTCCCAGACAGCCACTGGCCATGCTCAGAGACACCTGCAGGTGAGCACTGGAACTGCAGGATCTGCTCCAGCTCCACGGCGCCACCTGGAGGTGCTCAAGTCCCAGACAGCCACTGGCCATGCTCAGAGACACCTGCAGGTGAGCACTGGAACTGCAGGATCTGCTCCAGCTCCACGGCGCCACCTGGAGGTGCTCAAGTCCCAGACAGCCACCGACTGCCCAGAGACACCTGCAGGTGAGCACTGGAACTGCAGGATCTGCACCAGCTCCACGGCGCCACCTGGAGGTGCTCCAGTCCCAGACAGCCACTGGCCATGCTCAGAGACACCTGCAGGTGAGCACTGGAACTGCAGGATCTGCACCAGCTCCACGGCGCCACCTGGAGGTGCTCAAGTCCCAGACAGCCACTGGCCATGCTCAGAGACACCTGCAGGTGAGCACTGGAACTGCAGGATCTGAACCAGCTCCACGGCGCCACCTGGAGGTGCTCCAGTCCCAGACAGCCACTGGCCATGCTCAGAGACACCTGCAGGTGAGCACTGGAACTGCAGGATCTGCACCAGCTCCACGGCGCCACCTGGAGGTGCTCAAGTCCCAGACAGCCACTGGCCATGCTCAGAGACACCTGCAGGTGAGCACTGGAACTGCAGGATCTGCACCAGCTCCACGGCGCCACCTGGAGGTGTCCTGGTCCCTGACAGTGTCACATTGACAGGAAATCAAGGGGAATATCTACCCATATTGGGTATTAATATTAATACCCAATATTAAAAAAAACGGCTTTAGATCCACTTTTCACTTTTAAATCTAGACTTAATTAAAAACAAAAAACAAAGCGTATAAAGAACAGAAAGAGAAAGAAAGGAAGATGGTGATCTACAGTCACACGTACAATGTATTACAAGGCTGCAATTTGGTGATCAAAAAAGAAAAATTCACGGCCTGTCATAAACGAGGTGAATATTTTTTTTGGGGGGGCAGCCAATCAGAAGAGCTCAGCATAGCGTCAGTACAACAAAGCTTAAAAAGTTTGTGAATATGTTTTTGTTTTCCTAAAATCGTTTGTTGGTGGTGGTGGTGTCCCCTATACAGAGCAAAGGCAATCACGTACGGGGAGACCACTTTTTTTTATTTGGAAATGTGCAAATGGTATTGTTAAATTGTGCCGCCTTCCTGACATCTAAAACAATCCCAGATGGGAATCAACAGATGAGATGGGAAAGAAAAAAAGAGAAAAAAAATAACATCAGAAAAAAAAATAATATAAGAAAGAAAAAAAAAAAAGGAAAAATAACATAAGGAAAAAAATATAAGGAAAAAAAATGATAATATAAGAAAAATAATAAGAAAAAAAATAAGATAAGAAAAAAGGAAAAATAACATAAGAAAAAAAAATATAAGAAAAAAAAATAACATAAGAAAAAATGAAAAATAACATAAGAAAATAAATAATTTAAGAAAAAAAAGAAAAAATAATATAAGAAAAATTATATATGAAAAAAGGAAAAATAACATAAGGAAAGAAATAATATTAAGAAAAAAAAGAAAAAATAATATAAGAAAAATAACATAAGGAAAGAAAAGAAAAATAACAGCAAAAAAATATAAGAAAAAAAAATTTTTTTTTCCATGGGCTCCACGTCGGGGGGCAGGGGGATGCCCCAGAGCAGCTCGGCGCAGCAGGAGCTGGCGAAGATCTCCGCCCGCGGCCCCATGGGGTGCAGCACGCCGTAGTACAGGAGCATGAAGGCGATCCCGGCGGCGAAGCAGAGGAAAACGCAACACAGCGCTGGCACGGCGAAGGAGTCCGTTGTGTCGGGGTCTCTGTAGAGGTACCAGAGGAACGTCAAGGCGGCGTTCTCCGTCAGGATAACAGCGTAATAAGCGAACATTCGAAATCGGGTCCGGCCTTCCTTCACGTTAAACCAGCAAAAGATGTACACGATCCCTACCACCATGTTGAAGAGGACCTCCTCCCACTTGGACATACAGAAGTCCGTCCCGCCGTGAATGATCCAGAAGGCCATGATGCACCAGTGGACCACTACGAAGATCCCAAAGTAGAGCTGGAAGATTGAAGCGAAGAGAGCGAAGGAGATAACGCGGGACGAGATGGTGAAAAGGCGCCAGAAGAGGTGGATGAGCGCCCCTCTGTAGCTCATGCTCTTCTTGTCGTCCCGGGAGTCCCGTAGAAGCTTGTGATAGGAGGCTAGCACCCAAGCTAGGGACATCAGAGAGGCCACAGAGGAGACACCTGCCGGGAAGAAGATCACATTATTCATGGTCACGATGTCACACGCTGCCCGCAGTCAGGTCAATCTAATACAACTTATAGGGAGCTTTGGGGGTACAACGTGATATACTAGACGTGCTTCTGAACTACAACCGGCTGGTATCATACAGGTGATACCTCTACTA